AAAACAACCTTCTTTTAATAATTCTCTATATAAAATTATATGTACATTTTATACACTTTTTAAGCAGAAATCGGTAATCCCTTTACCGATTATCGCCAAATTCAATACCAACCTTTCTTAAATGATACTCTATCGATTAAAAGAAAAATTCAACCCGATATCTCAATATTTGCAGAAATTAGAGCAACCACGGACATTTCTAAAAAAATTCAAAAATTTTTTAAATACGATGGAATCTGTAAAAAGAAACTAATAAAAAGTATTTCAATTTATTCTGCTATTTGAAACTTTTTGAGCTCATATGAAAACATTTTTTTAAGTCTACATATGTATAGATTTTGATTTTATAAATTAAATTAAAATAATATTGTTAACTACTTATACTCTCTTTTATAATTAATATAACATAGCAAAATAGCGTGTAAATAATATGCCATGAAACTTATTGTCAGGAAACTCTTGAGCGAAGTAGTTTTCTTTTCTCTATAAATATTATATGTGCACGTGTGATAAAATAAGGGTGCAATAAAAAAATGGTGCAAATTAGAAATTTGCCTTCCTCATAGAGGAAGTGATGTCTGAAAATGCTAATACGGCCCTCTGATTGGCTACTATTAACATTTTTTTTAATTCTATTACATTCTTTAGTTCTTTCTAATCCTATTTCATATATAATTCTTTAAGATTCGGTCAATTATTTCCCGAAAAATTTGAAAAATTTTGGAACCGGTTTCCAAAAATCGGTAATAAAAAATTACATACTTTATGGCAATTCCCGGAAAGTTCTACCCCTATTTACTATTAGCAATTTTTTTAATTCTATGACATTCTTTAGTTCTTTCTAATCGTATTTCATATATAATTCTTTAAGATTCAGTCAATTATTTTCCGAAAAATTGGAAAAATTTTGGAACCAGTTTCCAAAAATCGGTAATGAAAAATTTTATACTTTATGGCAATTCCCGAAAAGTTCTACCCCTACTTCATATATAATTCTTTAAAATTCGGTCTATTATAACGAATAACTTGTACACTTTTTAGGCAAAAATCGGTAACCCCTTCACCGATCATTGCCAAATTCAACATCAACTTACCTTTAATAATACTCTATTCATAAAAAAAACTCAAGCTCAATGTCTCAAAATTTGCGGAAATTAGGGCAATCTATAATTCTTTAAAATTTGGTTAATCAGTTTTTGAGTTATAGAAATTTTGTTAAATTTTGCTGTTTTTTTAGATAAAAATCGGTAACCCCTTCATTATTAGCAATTTTTATTAATTCTATTATATTCTTCAGTTTTTTCTACCCTTATTTCATATATAATTCTTTAATATTTCATATATAATTCGTTAAGATTTGATTGATTTCAAGTTTGAGGTTCAACACCAACCTACCTTTAATGATACTCTACGATTTTTCGACGTTTTTGAACATAAGCAACAATGTGTCATCGAAAACTCAAAAAACAATTTTTACTTCGGTCTTTTCTACCCCTATTTCATATATAATTCTTTTAAATTCGGTTGATTAGACTTACAATTAGCTTTATATGCGAGCAAAATTATGGACCTTTGATCGCGTATAAAGCTGGGTTTAATCAACCAAATCTTAAAAAATTATATATGAAATAGGGGTAGAAAAGACTAAAAAATATAATAAAATTAGAAATAGATCGATATCTCCAAATTTGTGGAAGTTAGAGCAACCACGGACAATTCTAAAAAAATTCAAACTTTTTTTAAAAAAGAACCCCTTTACCGATTATCGCCAAATTCAATACCAACCTTCCTTGAATGATACTTTATCGATTAAAAAAAAACATCCTAATATCTAAAAAATTACGGAAGTTATACCATAAACAAAAAAAAAAGATAATTCAACACCAACCTACCTTTAATGATAACACTTTGCCAAAAATACTTAAAAAAATTTTTTTTACGAAAACAAAGCTTCCTCTATGAGGAAGCAAAAAGAACCCCTTTACCGATCATCGCCAATACCAACTTTCCTTAAATGATACTCTATTAATTAAAAAAAATTCAGCCCGATATCTCAATATTTGCGGAAGTTAGAACAACCACAAACATCAAATCCGCACATACACACACATACATACGGACATTTTTTTTAATGCGATATTTTGACGTTTTAAAACACTCTGAACATATTAGCATCAAAAACTCAAAAAACCATCTTTTCTTTGGTTTCTTTTACTCCTATTTCATATATAATTCTTTTAAATTTGGTTGACTAGACCCAACATTATACGCAATCAAATGTTCATATACGAAATTTACGAAAACAAAGCTTCCTCTATAAGGAAGCAATACTATATCGAAGTAAAAAACATGTATTGACATCTCGGTATGTTAAATTCAATTCAATTTATATAATCTTATTGTATTTATACATATAATCTCATTTTGTATCTAAAATAAGAATATCATGGTTTATGCTACTAGATTTTTTCAATGACATAATCTTTTATCTTTAATTGCAAAAAATCATATAATAGGAATAATATAGATGTTTCGTGTACACTACTGATGTTAGAAATCCCCGGCCATAGAAATAAAGATACAAGTCCATTCGGTTCCACGGAAAAGATTAAAAATCGTATAAAGTGACGTTATCGCACATATATGCATGCCGCAGCTACGTTTTAAGGGAAAGAGGCAAAGAGTGGGGCCACTGATTTTCCGAGCACATTCGACAAGATAACGCAACAGCAGTTTGTTCTATGTCGGATTGAACGGAGATAATGTCGCCATTATTCGTGCTTTGATTCCATCGGTAGTTCGTTCGTCAATGAGTGCTGGACAAGCGGGTTGCCAACCCAAAATCCATTCTTTTCAGTAAAAACGAGTGTCGTGCACTTCCAAGACATATGTACATATTCTCAGATCGCATTGCTTTAAATTTAAGAAGCATTATTTTAATACGCAGTAATGATATAGATTGAGATGCGACCGCGGTGGCGCGGTGCTATCCACGTATAGTATCAGCACAGGAATGTCAGGAATCCAAGGAGTTATTATTCAAATTAAATACGGGACCTATTATGCGAAAGGTATTATTGTGCGATTCATGCACGCCTGTTCCCGTTCTCCGTTTTTTTCTTCTTCATCTCGCTTTGCTTCTCGGGAGCGAGAACGAACGCTTTCCACGATTTCACCTCCAAGGCGCGTCGTCCTTTAGCACTCGCGTAGCATCATCGTTGAAACCAGTATTTATTTGATAGTGTCAATAAAGATAACTGATAATGGCTTAATTCGACTCCACTCTTGTGCGGATTGTACTTTGTTCTCGCGGGACGGTGCATCCTCCAACTGCAGATGGTATCAACAACGTGACAAAAACCGTTAGGGCTAGATTGAATGAAGTTTTTTTCATGGTGACTACGCGAAGCGCTTTTCACGGTGACTACATCATGTAATAGATTAATGGTGGATTTAGTGTTGACAAAGTGACCACCACCAGCACGAACGATGATTTGTGCGAGGTAATCTCGAGTATGAGTCAGTCGATACTTAATTTAGCGGATAATGCGGATTGTTGATTCCGATCGGCTGGGCCGATTTGGGATATTGATCATCCCATACAGCATGAAATATTCCATGAATGTTCTATAAATATTCTTTAGAATATTCATGAATTTTCTATGAATGATCTATAGATGTGCAAAAAACGTGTAATGTCCCGCTTTGAATGTCCTTAGAAATTTCTGTAAATATTCTCGAATAATCTACAAATGTTTTATAAATTTTTCCGCATAATCCATAATTTTTTTATATATGCAAAATATATTTATAGAACATTTATAGATTATTTTAGGAACATTAAAAATGGGATATCGCATATTCTGTATACATTTAATATTCACTCGACATAAAAAAAATTTATTTCGAAATTTTATTACTATTTTTTAACTAAATTTGTTTCTTAAGATGCAGTCTATGATTATAAATATTTTCTCGTATTTGAAAAACACACTTACCTTGGTGGGATTCGAACTCGGGATCTCTGGATCGTGAGCCAACTGCCTTACGTGGTAGACTACTTCTTAATTTGATGTAAGCGTTATATATAGTCTACATATGTCATAACCAGCGCAAATATATAATTTTTCAAAAATCATCTTAAGAAACAAATTCAGATTAAAAACTGATTATTATTATAACACATAACTTTTGTATTTTTACGACATAATAAAATTCTTTAATTTTAAAATGTCTTACTATCATTTTCATTAATTATTCATTAAAACGTTCCATTTAGCTATATTAATTGCGATTGACAACATCAATGTCTCCTGAGATTGATAAATTATCTGTCAGTAGAACAGTGAAAATATCTACGCAAAATCTACATTGATACTACGCGGATGAGATACTTTGATTTTATCGATGAAAAAGAAACGTTGAATCCACGCGGATAAGGGACTCCGATTTTGGCAATGGATAAGAAACGTTGAATCTACGTGGATAAGGTACATCAATTTTAGCGATAGAAAAGAAACGTTGAATCCACGCGAATAAGGTTCTTTGATTTTGACGATGAAAAAGAAACGTTGCATCTACGTGGATAACTCGTGGATGAATCTCCATCCACGTATTACGTAGATTCGACGCAGATGCGACGTACCTGTTTTACTGGGGTAGGGCTAAAGAATCAAGAATAAAGTTGAATGCACGATAAAAAATACAGGCAACAAAAACAGGGAATAACACAGGCAATAGATTTTTAACCTATCGGAAGCCGTGCATTAATGATTAATGCTACATCAGCTTTATTCCTTAATTTCTTATTTCTCATCGCTAATATCTGTTCCTTGTTCCTTATATTTTTCATTATGGGGCCTTAAAAATTGTTTAAAGCGACGTTATCGCACATACATACATGCCACAGCTACGTCATTGATAATAATTGTGATTGAAGGAAAGAGGCAAAGAGCGGGGTCACATATTTCCGTTCATGTTCAACAAGATAACGCTTACAGCAGTCTGTTTTGTGCTTGTTTGAATGGAGATAATGCCGTCATTTCGCGTGCTTTGATTGCATCGGTAATTCGATTGTCAGTGACTGTTTGACAAGAGGCTGGCGACAAAATCTGTTTTTTTTCAATAAAAACGAGCGTTGCGCACTTCGGAAATATACATATGTACAACATATTTTCGGATTGCACTGTATTTACATTCGCTTTAATATGCAGCTTTGATTCGCTGATAGATTTGACGACATGGTGACCGCGGTGCCATTCACTTATCAGCACAGAAATCCCAGGCGTTATCATTCAAATTAAATAGGGGAATACCTATTATGCGAAAAGCAATTTCCTGCTGCTGTACCAGTTTTTAGCATCCGCCTTTGTTCTTTTCCTCGTTTTGCTTCTCGCAAGTGAGAAGTGTGAGAACGAACGCCTTCCACGATTCCACTTCCAAGGCGCGTCTTTTAGTAGCCGTGTGACGTTATCGCTGAAACCAGTATCTGTCTGACAGTGTCGTAGAATCAATGAAAATAGCCGATAGTGACTTGAACCGAGTCCGTTCTTGTTCGGATTGTACTTTGTTCCCGCGGGACGGTGCATCCTCCAACTGCAGGTGGTGTCAATGCGACGTGTCGAAAACCGTTAGGGACAGATAAAATAAAGTTTTCCTGCCCGCGGAGCGTTTTCCACAATGACAGCATCACAGCACCATGTCGTCACAGATCGATGGTGAATTTAGTGTTGACAAAGTGACCGCTACCAGATGGTAATTTGTGCAAGGTAATCCTAAATATAAGTCAGTTAATCTTTTAATTTAGCGGATTGTTGCCGACCGATTGCGTCAATTTAAAATATTAGAGTGTATTCAGGAATTACGCCCAGGCCCACCTAAGTAATTCTAATGCTATAATATACATGACGTAAACTACAGCTTGGAGTTACCCAGGTTGAATTTCTGAACGCAGCCCTGATGTTTCTCGAGCTTGTCTTTTATTTTACCTTCGAAGTTTTCGCAAATTGTAAAAAAAAATCAAATAAGAATTATGTTTACAAACTCATCTTTTTTTTGTTATTTGCAAAAAAGTAGATTAAAAGACAAAAAATTAAACTGGACATTTATATTCTAATTGGAAGTGAGAGAATTTCGTAGCGACTTGATGAATTTATTTAAAAACCCTCTGTAGCTTTCTCGGCGAGCGTAAGATGTATTTGATATAAAGAAGGTGAATTTTCAGCGTAGCGCATGGATATTGTGACATTGATGCAACAGCAGCATCAAACGCTCGACGGTAATAAGTAGGGTCAGAAAGAGCAGGACCACATGAATAATGGTGCGTACTGTTGCGGCGTCTGCCGAGGGTCATGCGGTCGACAGGTTTCGCGGCGAGGCTGGATGTTCGGCGAAGGAAATGGCGGTCGTAGCTTCGGACAATGATAGCGTTGGAGATTCCTCTACGCAGTGCAGGAATGTGCATCTGGGTAGTGAGGTCAACTACAATAATGGTTCGGTTACCATTCATGTAAAACATGTCGTTTACACGTCTAGTCCGACTCAAGATGCGAGTAAATCTGACACCAGCGTCTCCGACAATACCTCGAATTTGTCGACGAATAAGGATAACGGAGATATAAACAGATGCATTTTTCAGCAAAATATTAAATTAAATAAAGGTAATAATCGTGCAACGCACCCGTTGCTTTTAGTTTATACTTCATTTTTTACGTAAGTATACATAGATATTACAGCTTTTTATAATTATTCTAGTGACGCAATCGCTCTGGACGTGGAAACGTGCGGTTTTATCGTGCGTTATAACTTTAGTACTTCTAGCTGTTGTAGTGCCCATAACTGTACATTTCACCCCGGAAATTCCAACCTCATCGCTTAAGGGTAATTGTCTATCTGGAAAATTTTTTAATTTGCAAGCGCGACATAAAGCAAGCGTTATGTTATCACGACCCCGCCGATTATAGATCCCGACAAGGTATCCCCGTTATCCGACTACTACAAGGTTGTGTGCTATTTCACAAATTGGGCCTGGTACCGTCGTGGAATCGGCCGTTATTTGCCGGAACACATCGATCACACTCTATGCACGCATATCGTGTACGGCTTCGCAGTGCTAGATTATTCCGAGCTGGTGATTAAGGCGAACGACTCCTGGGCGGACTACGACAATCGTTTCTACGAGCGGGTGGTAGCGCATAAAAAGCGGGGTCTTAAGGTGCTCCTCGCGCTGAGCGGATGGAATGACTCCGCCGGCGAAAAGTACAGCCGATTGGTGAATAGTCCGTCCGCTAGGAAGAAATTCATCAATCATGCTATTCAGTTTATCGAAAAATACGGTTTTGACGGATTGGACTTGGATTGGGAGTATCCTGTTTGTAGGCAGGTGAGCGCAATTTTTTATTTACATTCTGTCAAGTAAGAACGTGGTCGCTATAACTCGCAGTTGGTAAAAGCTATACTCCTGATTCTTACATGAGTTGATAGAAGATACTTTTCTTCTTGATGCTTTGCGAAGAAAAGCTCAGTTGTCGTTAAAGTTGTGCCACAGCAAAGCATAAGCGTCGCATGAGTGCCGCGTACGCGTCGGGCTTCGAAGCTGTATTACGTGTTTACACACAATCTGAAGGCGGACAAAATTTTGGAAATCTGTAAATTGTTATTTGTGTAACAAGTGCTGTAAGATGAAAATTTACGGGTGCGGAGTTGACGCACGAGCCTTCGGCACGGTTTGCACACCCTATTTTATGTTGCAAGTGCGTGGAAAGTGGTCTATCGCGCACGCGTAGCGTGCGTAATGAGCCACTTTCCATGCACGTGTTACATAAAAGCCCTTGTTACTATCTGCCAACTTGTGGTTTATAAAAAAAAAAATGAAGACTGGATCCTGCAGGAGGATAATGATCCGAAACACCGGAGCAGACTCTGTACTGAGTGGAAGGAGCAATCTGGCATCAATCAATTGGATTGGCCGTCACAGTCGCCCGATGCAAATCCAATCGAAAATGTTTGGGCATATATTAAGCATAAGCTTCGTGAAAGACAAATATTCAGTTTAAAACAATCTATCTTGTTGCAATATCTTGAGAGATTCGTTGGAGATATGGAGATCCTTGCCGCACGAATAGTGCAAAATATGCCTCGGAAATGTCAGTCAATTATCGATGCCGATTGTGACTGGATACATTATTAATGTAATTGCATCTTAGCTCTATACTAATCAAATAGAATGTATCATGTATTTCAAAATTTTGCTAACTCAATTTTTCTATAAATTAGGCCGACCACGCTCTTATATACTTGACAGACTGTAATAATATTAATACAAGCGTTCGAGTTTTTATTCATCATCGTCCTTTTTTTCGTGTTTTTTTTTCTTTATTTTATAATTTCTCTGGAAATATTTTAAATAATACATATATATATATGTTTTTTTTTTAAGATTTAAATATAAAATTTAGATAGTATTTTATATCTTTATTTAAAGTTCTGTTTTTCGTACTTTTTGTATATAATCTTGCAAATTATTTATAATAATTTTCAGTTATTAACAATTCTTTTCAAATTTTGGCAACAGGCAAATTGCAACAAAGGTCCAGATTCGGATAAAGAGAGCTTTGCAGCTATCTTGCGGGAATTAAGCGCTGAATTCAAGCCAAAAGGATTGCTTCTCTCGGCAGCGGTCTCGCCGAACATTCTGGTGATTGACAAAAGCTACGACGTCCCGGCGTTGGCCAAGTATTTGGACTGGATCGCCGTCATGGCGTATGACTATCACGGACAATGGGACAAACGTACCGGTCATATTGCGCCTTTATATTATCATCCGGACGATGAGTTCTGCTACTTGAACGCTAACTATTCGATCAACTATTGGATCTCGAAGGGTGCACCACCCAGGAGCATTGTTATGGGCATGCCGTTGTACGGACACTCGTTCTCAATCCACGATCCCAGAGCTGGAACTGGTCTGAATTCTCCGGCCAGCGCCGGGAACGCCGGAGAGTTCACCCGGACTGCCGGTTTTCTGTCTTACTACGAAATCTGCGATCAAGTACGCAATCGTGGATGGACGGTTGTGCAAGATCCGGAGGGTAGAATGGGTCCGTACGCTTATAAGGGCAGCCAATGGGTTAGTTTTGACGACTCGGAAATGATCAGGCGGAAGGCGCAGTTCGTGCGCGATATGGGTTTGGGCGGTGGTATGGTATGGACTCTGGATTTGGACGATTTCCGCGGACGATGCGATAACGGACCACATCCACTGATGCACACGATTCAGCGGGAGCTGGCGGAACCGCCGAAGAAGCACGACAGGCTTCTGAAGCCCGTAGAATTGAAGCCACCCCTGCCAACGATGACGACGTGGACCGTCAAGCCCACGAAAGCGATACAGACGACTACAACAGTGGATCGCGTTTCACACAACAGTTCCGGCGAGTTCAAAGTCATCTGCTATTTCACTAACTGGGCCTGGTATCGGCAAGAGGGTGGCAGATTCGTACCGGAAGATGTAGATTCCGATCTTTGTACCCATGTGCTTTACGCATTCTCCGTGCTCGACGGTAGCAGCTTAACGATGAAATCCAACGATCCTTGGTCCGATATAGACAACAAGTTTTACGAAAAAGTGACGACGTTCAAGGCAAAGGGTCTGAAGGTGCTGATATCACTGGGAGGCTGGTACGATTCGATCGATTCGGCCAAATACAGTAGACTGGTAAACTCGCCGTCGGCTAGGCGAAGATTTATCACAGAAGTTCTCATCTTCATTGAGAAGTATGGTTTCGAAGGTCTCGATCTCGATTGGGATTATCCGGTATGCTGGCAAATGGACTGCAACAAGGGCCCGGAGTCTGATAAGCAAAGCTTCGCTGAGCTAGTGAAAGAACTGAGCAACGAGTTCAAGCCTCGAGGATTACTTCTCTCCGCAGCCGTATCGCGAAGCAAGATGGTGATCGACGCGGGATACGACGTTCCCATCCTGTCCAAATACCTGGACTGGATATCCGTGATGATGTACGACTTCCATGGTCAATGGGACAAAAAGACTGGCCACGTAGCACCGCTGTATTCTTTACCTAATGACTGGGAACCGACATTTAATGCCGTAAGCTTTACTTCGAGAATTATTTAGCATGAAAATTATACTAATAATATCGGAAATTTTATAAATACTTAGTTCTTTGTCACTAGAACTTTTCGATCCATTATTGGATAGAGAAAGGTGCAAATCCGAAAAAGTTGATCATGGGCTCCCCATTGTACGGCCAATCATTTTCACTTGCGAAGATAAATGTACACGGATTAAACGCGCCAACCTATAGCGGAGGCGAACCTGGAGAGGCGACTAGAAACGGAGGCTTCTTGTCATATTACGAGGTAAATTTATGTCCAAAAAAGAAATATTGAAAAATAAAAATCTAATTAAATATTAAAAAATGATCAAAGTTTCTAATAAAATGCATGTAAGAAAATATTATCTCTGCATTAATTAACAGCTGCAAATAAAAATTTATTAATTTTTAATATCCTAAAAGATGTCTATTTATTCCAGGAGTAAATAAATATCTATTTTTTTCGTTTTCTAACAGATATGTGAAAGAACGTTGAAGAAAGGATGGACAGTCGTTCAGGATAAAGACAGAAGAATCGGCCCTTATGCCTACAAAGGTGATCAGTGGGTAGGCTTCGACGACGCTCAACAAATCAAACTGAAGGCAGAACTGATCAAGAAACTTGGTCTCGGCGGTGGTATGCTTTGGGCTTTAGATCTGGACGACTTCAGAAACAGATGCGGCTGCGAGCCTAGTCCGCTATTGAGAACAATGAATCGAGTTTTGAGGAATTACCCGAAGGGCCCGCTGTGTCCCATTACGGAAGGTAGATGTTAATATCATTTTCAAAATAGAGAAATATATCTCAACAATATATACAATATATACAAAAATATAAAGTTTAAAGTTTATTATATTAAAAAAGTACGTATAAATATTGATTATATTGAAATAGTATTTTAATAACATTTTAATATTACTTCTTATGATTATTAGGATCGGTTGTAATCGACGTCAGCCAAACTGACATCGAATCCATCACAACTATACCACAGAATGTCCAATATACGTATCCACTACATCGTCAAGACCAATATATGGGAGACCAGGGCACCATGAGCCACTAAAATTCAAACTTTAAAAAGTACTTTTAAATATAAGATTTTTTGTCTCATTTTTTAAAATAATTAAAGCATTATGTATATTTTAAAATTTATTTAGCGTATTTGGCAAATATTGATTAGTTTTTGAGAAAAGAATTAAAACAAATTTTTTGAGAAATGACCCAGGGTGCCCCATACTCTGGGCACCATGGGTCTATGTCACTGGGGCACTATAAATCACACACAAAAACTATGTTTATTTATTCAAAAAATAACGAAAAGTTACAAAAGTTGAAAAGAAATTTTATTTTATACGTTTTCTTACTGACACCGTTCAGGATTGGTAAGGACAAACAAGATATCAGAACCCACTACTAAAATATCTTTCTTTTGGAAGAAAAACTAACTTCTGACATGTTTTTTTAAATAAAAAATAACATATATCATCAACCTATCTATCTATCATCAACTTTGGTGGCGTGTGTGATTCATGGTGTCACAGCATTGGGTGTCCTATGGTGCCCCGAATGCACTTAATATAGAAAAAAGTGAAAAAAACGTAATAAAAAAAATAAACTACACACGATTATCTGTAGTGCAATAAAATGACAAAAGATGTTAGAAAGTTGCACCTAATTTTTAGTCTCTTACGAAAAAAATACCCAAGATTTTGGTGTTTACACTCAACTTTGGGTGTTTACACTCCATTTTCGGTGTCAACGTCTAAATTTTCAGTGTTGACACCGACATTTGAATGTCGACACCCAAAATTTGGGTGTCGACGCCAAAAGTTGGGTATATCGACACCGAAACTTTGGGTGTCGACACTAAAATTCGAGTGTCGATACCGAAACTTTGGTGTCGACACCCAAAATTTGGGTGTCGACATCAAAAGTTCAGTGTCGACACCAAAACTTTGGGTGTCGACACCAAAGATTCGGTATCGACACTCGAATTTTGTATCCCCAAAACTTGGGGATACATAAGCAGGCCCCGATCAGGACATGTATTCTTACTTTAATAAAATATTGGTAGGGTAATATAATCACAAAATGTCACACACTCTATTTTATGTTGCAAGTGCGTGGAAAGTAATCTATCACGCACGCGTCGCGTGCGTAATAGGCCACTTTCCATGCACGTGTAACATAATGGCTATTTGTCGCACAGATGGCGCGCGCGTAATGGGCCACTTTCCACGCACGTGCGATATACCTATTAGTTATTTGTGCAACAAGTGCTGGAAGATGAAAATTCACGGGTGCGGAGTTGACGCACGAGCCGAAGGCGAGTGCGGTCACCGCACCCAGGAATTTTCATCTTTACGCACGGTTTGCACACCCTATTTTATGTTGCAAGTGCGTGGAAAGTGGTCTATCACGCACGCGTAGCGTGCGTAATGGGTCACTTTCCATGCACGTGTGACGTAATAGTTATTTTTATGTCGGGTGAATTTCCTCATTAAAGAGTACTTTATTTGGGGGTGTTCGCGATCGAGCCTTAATTCCGCGTGAATAATCGCGAGGAGAATTCTCGGTTAAGCCTAGCATTATTTCGGGAACAACCGACGTTATTCTAGGAATCTTCGAGAAGCCGAGAAACGATCTTTTGTTTTTCCGCGTGTGCTTGCTCTATCCCTTTTGTCTCAGTACGCGACGTAAACATTCGGGACGGAGCGCATGACCACGGCGAAAACAGTTGATCGGTTGCCGACTCCGAAATTCACTGAGTTCAAATCGAACGACAAGTCAGTGGGTCGGTGACCGATTGGCTAGACTAATTGTTCGGCTCGTTACCGGGGATGCGTGACGCGTTGGTATAAGAAGCCCGAACCTCCGCACGCGCCTCGCACTCGCTTCCAATACGTTCTTAGTGGCAATTCAAGCAGTTTTTCGTGCAATTCGAGAAGGCCGTTTGTTGCTCGCGTAAAGTCTTCGACGACGGCGCGATCCGTGGCTCGCGGAATAACTCATCGTTATCCGCTGAGCAATAATTCGTGCGGCGAGAACCGTGGCTCGCGGAATAAGCGTCGCTTTTCGAGGAATTAAAACCGTGACTTGCGGATTCCTAAACGCTTTGTAAATAGCTGTGTTATAAATTTGTAAATATACTTGTAAATAGACAAACAAACTGACTTTGAAATAAGCCCCGCTCACGCGCCTCTACTTCGATCCTTCCTCCGCTCACGCACAGGGGGCTACACTCATTTGAGAGTACCCTATTTGAAGATTCTTTTCGTAGTTAACCCTCATTTCGGTGTTGACCGTCAATTGACGATCCGAATTTACACCAAACCTTTGATGGTTTTTTTGAGAGTATTTTTATACCGAAAATTGGGTGTTTTTTCCGTAAGGGGTACGTGTATATTTTACTACAAAAACAATATTAAAACATTTCTAAATGGTTAAAAAGAAATTTACGCATCGCGAAAATCATTTATGTCACGTGCGTCTCGAGACTACGGACTTTGATGACTGCCATCTCGATACGAATAAGTATGGGCAACGAAATAACTGTCACGTGATACTAATTGAATCAACTTAAACATTCTGGATTACCCTAAATAGTCAATGATCCATGGTACCTCGTGGCTCATGGTGCCCCGATCTCCCCTACATCCCACCAGCAACAACCTCGACTACAACGACGATTATTGAATCAGACATTGACGATACCATCGAGATCGAAGCCAGTCCACTACCCGCAGCAGATTGCGGAGGACATTTATTCATACTGCACTAAAACGACTGCACCAAGTATTATCTGTGCAACTTTGGCAAGATCTCGAAACGGTCCTGTCCACTTGGACTCTACTGGAACGAAAACCGATGCGACTGGCTGGCAGCCCGGGGTCGAATAGAAGAAATTTTGTCGGATATCCCAGCCAAAACGCCGACGTCTATAGACGTCGAATTGACATCTTATAGATGTCGATTTGACATCTATCGACATCTATAGACGTCGAAAAGACGCTAGCATTCCGGCTGGGATGTCATAAGAATCATCGAGAAGTACGGATTCGATGGTCTGGATCTTGATTGAGAGTTTCCGGTATGCTGGCAGGTAAACCGAAATCTCTTCTCTCTTCTTCTCAGTATAATTATAACAATTCTTTCAACACATGAAATATTAAAGATACTTCGGAACATTTAAAGGAGTCATTTTAGTTTCGATTTAGAGAAAAAGCTTTTAACAAAAAGGAATTATTTTTCAAATATACATGTAGTTCTTTTTTAGTAAAATTTGTTGTTTATCAATAGATCCCAAGTGCTAGGCTAAGGACACTAATTACGGAAATTAATTAAAAACCAAATATCTTGGACAGGGCGATTGTAGCCGCGGTCCTCAGCAGGACAGCGAAAACTTCATAGGACTTCTCGAAGATCTCAGCGAGGCGTTCACATCTCAAGGACTCCTTTTATCCATCGCGGCGAGCAAGATCGTCGTCGACCGGGGCTACACCCGCATCCCGCTATTAGCGCGGCACGTGGATTGGATCGCCGTTTTGTTCATTACGCTTTGTCGAGAGGGACGAATGGGATGCGGAGCCGCCTTTGGAACCTCTAACAAAAATGAAGCTGCCAGTATCATATATAATTATTAGTCATACTGTGACAGCATTCTGTACCACGCTATCAGATTGTGCATTCCAAGTGAGATTTGTTCAGTATACGCATTTTAAAGGTTACAATTTTTCGGATATCGGCTATAATTTTCTCGTCGGAGGTGACGGCTTCGCATGTGTTGGCAGAAATTGGGACTACGTCGGTGCCCATGCCTGTGGTTATAACAGCAGAAGTATTGGCATTTCCTTCATCAGTAATTTCAGTTCAGTTGTACCGCCGAAACTACAATTACGTGCCGCGCAAAAGATCATAGAGCTCGGCGTCAAAGCCGGAAAGATCGCACCTGACTAAACTGTTAGATCACCGACAAGTTTTGAACACTAAGAGTCCTGAGATGCCTTATATAATGAAATTATATAAAGGCAATTATATAATGAAATTATAATAAAGCAATTATATAAAGTGGCCTCATTGTCATCCGAGCCCTGACTAAATAGCTTGAAAATTTAACTTGTGAATGGAATACAATGTTTAAAAATATTTACATCTTTTTTTTCTTTCTTTAAATCTGTTGTTGCCACTTGTTTATGTCAGTTAGATTTTCAACAAGAGAATACAAGGTATTTAAATACAAAGTTTATATATGTATTTTTTAATAAAATAAAAGATTAATCACAAAGAATTACAGAGGTAACAAAGTACAAAATAAAAATATTTTATTAAAATATTTAAACCCAACAAGGGAATACAAGGTATTTAAATACAAATCAGCCCCAGTGGTCGAATTGGCATGACACCCGCACGGTATACGGGAGGTTCCAGGTTCAAGGCCTGGCTGGGGTAATATTTTTTCGCAATAAAAATTTAAACTATTTAATTTAGAAATTACATCAACTGACCAAAACCCATAGTCGAAATTAATAATGTCTCGATGATTGATCCGAAAAAAGTGCTGTGTGAATCCGACAAACCAAGTTGGCTCGCAGTTTTTCAATGTTCATATCGAAAAGACGTTATATATTGCCAGTCACGGTCGATTTAAATTACTTTAATTGTTATTCTATATACTGGCGAAAGAAATTTATTATTCTGTTTGTATTATATATGTTCTCTCTATAATTGGCGTTGTAATTTAAAGAGATATTATTTCATTTCTGTAATTGTAATAGATCACTTGAAGCGCGATTCTCTTCTTTGATAAGGTGTAACATAATTTTGTGATGTGTATCACTTGGGTTATAATTTTTTGGAAATAAAGATACTTATACTGCTTAGGCTTTTTCGAGATGTTTCAAGATTATTTTTTAAGGCAATATACATGATCTCTCTGTAATTGGCACTGTAATTTAAAGAGATATTATTTCTTTTTTGTAATTGTAATAGATCACTTAAAGCGCGATTCTCTTCTTTGATAAGGTAACGTAATTTTGTGTATCACTTGGCTTATAATTTTTTGGAATATATAAGTACGGCACAATTTGTATCAGTTATATCGTGGAGTCTATACTCTCTTATAATAAAATGGCATATACAAATATACATATATACTTTTGGATTAATATAATAGTATATTAATTACTACAAGCACAACGCTAGCTCTTCTTTCGTATTTTTCTTAATTATAGCCAGACAACACGCGTCTATAAAAAAATTTAAAAAACGTTTTAAATGTCTATAAAAAAGTCTTAAAAACGTCTTAAAATAATGTCTAATCTACGTCCTAATGCATATATTGCATTAAAGACGTCGTAAAAAGTGACATAAGACGTCCCAAAGACGTTTAAACTATATACGTCTTTCTGAAATCTTTTAAAGACATCTAGGGATTTTTATGACGTCTTTCAGAGGTCTTTATGACGTCAAAATGTTATCTGGGTAGGCTGGATCCCATAAAGCGCATTATTATATGCACACATTTTTCTATAGTATATATATGTTATAGATATATACACGCATGATGCGCTTTACGAAACCCAGCTAATGCTTCGATGTGGTATGTTGAATCGCACTGCTTTTGATGTAAAAAATTATTCAAAATTTAGATGTTTTTGATGTCGAAAATTACTTGAAATTGAGTTGATTTCGATATCAAAAATTTCTCGAAACCGAACTGATTTCGATATCGAAAATTTCTTGAAACTGCATGGGACCGTCTGAATCTCGAATCGATGTTGAATTTCGAGGATATATTTTCGATATCATTTCGACCACTTATTTCTCACTGGGTAACATACAAGTATTAATATGTTTATTCACGTTGGCGTCGCTGAAAAACGTTCATAGCATAACTCCATATACCAGTGTACACAATTGGTACAACTATAACTGCGGTACGAACTAAGACAACTGATGCGAAATAAGATGTATACTTTACCGGCAGGAATGCCTGGATATAATACATATACATATACCTGTACATATATGTCATATACATATCAAAATGTCCAGGCATTCCTGCCGGTCAGTGTATAGGGCCATGGCACACAAAAAAACTTAAGTCCATAAACTTAAGCAATAACCGAATCGACCAATCACAGTCGAGAACTTAAGCAGCCATTTTGAAATTTAAACTTAGGACATTTCAGTAACGGTTGTTAAAAACACTGTTGGCAGCAGTGTTCGCGCTAAAAACACTGTTGGCAGTGTTCGCGCTGGTTTATTTTTGCTCTCATTGTGCGCCTTAAATTGCGAAAAAGTATTATCCATGTCCTATATTGTAAAAGAAAAATTATTTATGATGAAATGGATATTTTATATAAGAAAGAAATAAATAAATCAAGTTGCAAATACTTAGAAAAAAAACTGGCAGTTAATTAAATGTGCATAGTTACCTTAATCAATTTTTCCATTGATATTTGGCTTAATTTTTCTCCGCCCATTTTTCGTTTATTCTGGATATGACGAAGAGCTGTGTTCATACAGTGTTGATGTTCGGATTCTAAGTGATCGGTCGCTAAAAACGGTTTCGCTCCACCGCACACGTTGTCCATCATCTGAAGGTATAAATCTTTAGCCTCTCTCTCTCTCTCTCTTTCTTTCTCACTGCTACGGTTAAATTGTTAGCTTCTGCTGTAGCCTGTATATGCAAAACACGGATTATTGCGGTTTAGATAATTGCTTGTTCCAGTTGAATGAAACCAAAGTACCAAAGATCGACTTGGAAATAAAAACCGCGAATTATAAAAACCGCTAAAATTATACATACCACAAGCACGCTTTTCGGTTCGGAAAGTTCATCTCTTTTGTATAAATTGATGTAACTCTTCAAATATTCCAATAGATCTTTCGCTTTCACGACTTGGCCGTTGATCTTCTTGGTCACCAGATTTTCCGGCGCCAGTATCATCAGTATGAGCACTTTCAACTGTTTTTTGAACTCTGCCTGTATCTCGGATAATCTACCGTCAAATCTCGGTTTCGTCGCGACCTCGAGACCGAGATGCGGCATGAGGAAACACGATATGTCCGAAAAGCAGGACATAATGTGCCTTCGCAAGCTCTGTAATTCCGGATGCTGCCTGTCGGAAATCTCCAGTATCTTGTCAAGCAATTTCTTCTCGCCGTTTGCACCGTAATCGGTCTCGTACGGATAAGCCCAGTCTCTGACTAAAAATTGCAATCTTTGGAAGGGCGTGCTCTCGGAGCTTTCCAGCGCCAGTCTACCGTACTCGGTGAACAACTGCAGGTGCAGAAGATTATCCTCCTGAATATTTTGCGACAGATTGTATATTTGCACGAGGACCGCATCGTACTCAACGCGAACACGGTCGCGCAGTCCCGCACTGTCGACTGACTGTCGAAAGTGCCTTGAGTGTCCATAAGAATCACAGCGATCTTTTACCGCTCGCCAAAGTAGCAGGATAAACCTTCGACCACATCAATATTCCCGTGGTATGCCTGTCGGAACCTCCCCTCCATGGAAAACACTAAGTGGCTCGTCCTCGGCACCCAACCAGGAATCAGTATTGTTTTGTAACGTGTACTGTGATTAATGTGATAAATTATTAGTAGTCATTCAATAATTGAATTGTGTCGATCAAAGATGATCGTGAGTATGAAATAATACGAACTTGATAAATATCTGATTATCTATGTGTTCTTTTTTATTTTTTAATTTAGATATTGATGATTAACAAGTAACAAAACACTAGTTATCAAATCTGTGAATAACACTTACTTTGTTGTTCATATAACGAAGAAAAAAGTCAAGAAGGAAACTTTTGCTTTTTCTGAAGGCACCCGCAACAGATACCACAACTACATTTCTATCTTTCACGTCGTCATGTAAGAAAATTTCTGACAATGCAACTTCATTTAATTCGAAGGTATAATGATCTGGATGGGCAAGTACCACTTGCACAAGTCGCCCACCATCCACCAGGTCCATGTCTTGCATTTGTGCATCTATCGGTGAAAGCCTTTCTATCCGATCAACCTTTTCTAGGTGATCTGCAAAAGAAAATTGGATTAAAAACATCTCTATTGCAAATAATGGATAATCTATATATATATAAATGAATGTATGTATGTATGTATGTATGTATGTATGTCCTTTATGCACTTTTAAACTATTCGACTGGTTTTGAAAGTATTGTATATGAAGTAGGGGTAGAATTTTCTGGGGAGTGTTATAGAATGTATAATTTTTCGTTACCGATCTTTTTGGGAACCGGTATTCGACATTTTTTCATTTTTTCGGGAAATAATTGACCGAATTTCAAAGAAATATATATATGAAACAGGAGTAGAATTTCCCGGGGAGTGTCATAATGTGTATAGTTTTTTGTTACCGATTTTCTGGAAACCGGTTTTTCTAATTTTTTTTTATTTTCGGAAAATAATTGACCGAATCTCAAAGAGTTGTATATGAAACGGGGGTAGAATTTTCCGGGGAGTGCTATAAAGTGTATAATTTTTCGTTACCGATTTTTTTGGAAGCCGGTATTACAATTTTTTCAAATTTTTCGGGAATTAATTGACCAAATCGCAAAAAATTATATATGAAGTAGGGGTAGAATTTCCCGGGGAGTGCTATAAACTGTATAGTTTTTCGTTACCGATCTTTTTGGAAATCGGTATCTTTTTGGAAATCGGTTACGAAATTTTCCAGAGCGGG